AAAAAAAAAAAAAAAAAAAAAAAAAAAAAAAAAAGAAAGTAGCAAATTAAATTGATACTTTTTAAAAAACAAGAGTTTTATTTTCAAATGTCACTGTTTTCAATATGCTGGAATGTCTATCCTTTGCAACAATTTAAACTTAAAATAAAAAATTTTAGGTACAAAGTCAATTTTAAAAACATTCAAGAGGGTAAATGGTGTTTCAAAATTCTTTTAGGAGGTTATAAGGAGCAAAAATGTTTGATGACCTCTGTTCCTGATGAGACTGTCTACAAAGTCCAATATCTTTTTTTTTTTTTCCTTTTTGTCTTTTTTCGTGTCCGGCAATGGATCGCAACCCTCAGTGTTGCGCCTGTACCGGACCGGGACCGGCAACGGGATCGCAACCCTCGGTGTTGCTCCCACACCTCACTCAGCCAGTGAGCAGGAATGTCATGTGGGATCTGAACCCTCGGCGGGAGCGCCACCGTGCTCCCAAGCGGCGCACTGTAGCAGTGCGCCACCGAGCCGGCCCAAAGTCCAATATCTTTTGAATTTGTTTTATCATTTTATTTGTTACTATCAACCAGTTTACTTATTTTGAACTTGACAGAAAATACAATATACCATGTTCATCAAAGAATGAGGCACTTTATAAGGGTACATAAACTAATATGAAAACTATATGAATAAATTAAAACCATGACTACAGAAAACATGTACAGACCCAAAGTAAAGACCAGAAGAAATCAGAGTACTGAACTATGGGTCTCAGAGAGCGTCAAAGTTTTAAATCAGAGGTAACCAGAAGCAAAAGTGAAAAGGAAAACCTGGTCAGTTACATTGTTCTCATTTGTCCTTGAGGAGAAAACCCATCAATTCCTTAAGAGAAGCTAAGATTTTCCTGGCACTTATTTAAAAAAATGTTTGGATTGGTTTCACATGAGGAATCCCTTTAGCAAGTGGTATTAGGAAAATAATTTTGTAAACACCTACTATGTTCACATATTAATACAAAAGGAAAGAAGTTACTTACCTTGTGGATATAAGTATTTCCTTTAGAGGAGGATAAAGAAGAGATTACAAAGAATTTGAATTACAAAATAGTACACTTACTCTGCTTTTATTTTCAGCATTTCTTCAACTATTTTACTCTATAATAAGATAAAAAGAAAAGAAAAAGAAAAAGATAGCTTAGGTTCTTAAATAACATTGGTAAAAAAAGATCAAAAGGAGCCAGTCCTCTCTCTCTCATGTAAACCAATATCCTTTCCCACAATCCCACTACACACACATAAAGGGGGTATGTACTTATAAGATTTTGTGCACTCTAAGCCCTTAAATAGGCCTCAATATGTGTTTCTAAACTGAGAACTGACAGGCTTACTATCTAGGCATGAAGACAAATTCACTCTTAATTTTCAGGTATGTCTAAATACTGATGGTAAGTATCATGCTAAACAGTAGGACTGCAGAAAAGACAGGAATTTCAACAGTAAAATGGTTTCTAAAACATATAGCCATTGGGCCGGCCCGGTGGCGCACTCGGTAGAGTGCAGCGCTTGGGAGTGTGGCGGTGCTCCCACTGAGGGTTCGGATCCCATATAGAGACCGTTCCGCTCACTGGTTGAGCGTGGTGCAGGCACGACACCGAGGGTTGCAATCCCATTGCTGGTCGCAGTACGGGCGCGACACCGAGAGTTGCGATCCCGTTACTGGTCACGAAAAAAGACAAAAAGGAAAAAATAAAATAAAATAAAATATATAGCCATAAATGCTAACTATAAAAGTATTTCTCAGATGAGAAAAAATTATGTAAAAAAAAAGAATCATACTTTAGCAAGTCTTTCTTTGATAATCTCTTCTTCTTGTTCACTCTTCAGCTGTTCATTGTCTGGATGATTCTGATCACTGCATAGATTGGGGAGGGAGGAGACAGGGAAACACTATCAAGTACTGTACTTCAAATCTCTTATATGCAGCAATGCCCAGCTGTGCAAAGAAAAGCTAACTCTATGATGATTAGGTCAAGTCAGCACAGTTGATAAATTTGGTTGATACATGGGGATGAAATAAGGCACCTCCCCAGAAATCAGGACTTCTCCCAGTACAAAAGCAAGATGAGCAGAGCTGGGAAATCTAATCAAGGCTTGGGTGAAAGTAAAATAAAATAGAAACTTAAAGAGTGTTGGTAATATCTGAAGATCAAATGTGACTAAAAGAGGGCTGAAAGAAAGGACAGGCTGGGAGCCTGGTGTGAACGTGATCAGCTGGGAAGAGGCAACTTTGGGGGTGAGGAGGGTTGCTAAGACTGTGGGCTGGCCTGGCCAGTGGAGCCCTGACTCCCACTTTGCTTAAATTCCAAGCAGCTGGCATTTTCTGATGACCACTCTGGCTTCCCATGTATGTGGACACCAGGAAGGGGCTTCCCTGAGCATCAGACATAAATCTCTTTGTGCAAAAGTAATGCTCCCACAGATAAATTAAGAAAATTACATTCTAGATGACACATCCATCTCTGTGAGCCTGACCAGGTCAGGATAATAAATTGAGTTTCTGTAGGCAGCCCCTGGACCAAGGAAACATCCCTCTTGTAGAATCTGCTGGAATGCCATAGGCTCCTCTAGGAATCTCTCTCTTACTGGTGAGTAAAAGACCATTTCTTGAAGGAAAACAGAAGCTTCAGTAAGGTTTCCTTTCCTTAACGAATCTCGCAGTCTAGACAAAAATGGTAATGAGATCTCAATGAGGAAAACACCCACACCATTAGGGGAAGATGTGTTTTCTGTGCAGTAATCCAGGGATTGGCAAACTTTTTCTGTCAAGAACCAGACAGTAAATGTTTTAGGCTATGGGAGCCATATGATTTCTGTCAGAGCTATTCAACTTGGCTATTGCAGTGCAAAAGTAGCCACAATGGTATTTACATGAAAGGGTGTGAGTACATCTCAATAAAACTTTATTTACAAAACAGGCTGTGGGTTGGATTTGGCTATGAAATGAAGTTTTGTTGTTTTTTTTTAAAGACACAGTTATTCAGTGTCATGACCAGACTATATTATATTTAGCACTCAACAGCATGGGTGCAGAAAAAAAAAAAATGTACATTAAAACCCTTTGTTGGAATGCTTTATACTTTCCACAGAACAGAAAGTAAAATAATGTGTTATATATAATCAGTCACAAGTACAATCCTTCAATCTTTTGCCCATACACATGAGTATTGTATAAAATATGCTTTCTTTGTAACAGCTAGGCCCTGCCACTCCTGTGCTTGGCTGAGTTCACAAATCTGTTGTAACCTGTAGCTTCCCTGTCACTTCTCTGGTTCTCCTCTTTGGGTGAGCTTTGTTTCCTGGCTGTAATTAAAACCTCTTGTCAATGTCATAGCTACTGCTGGTGCTGGAACTGCCTAAAAAGAAGCTCATAATGACAGCCTCTCCAGAACAAATGAGTTTATCTGGGAATAGCAGAGGGAGTGCAATTCTGAAGTATTCAAGCTACGGCAGGCCATGGGCAGATCCAGGGGGGATCAGGGCAAGATGGGAGCTTTTAAAGACAAAGAGAAGTCAAAGTAAGCTGCTTTGAAATAGTCTATTGGTCACAGAAGCTCACTGTAGGAGTTGGCATTTGTTCTTTGGTAAAGACAGATGTTGTTAGGCAACTGACCTAGTGCAGGTAGCTTGTTTGAAATATCGAAGGCCTGAGGAATTTCCTGTGTTGAGCTGTTACAGGCTGTGTACAGGAATGAGGTGTGTGGTATGTGCAGAAATTTCTTGTGTTAGGTATGTTACAGAAATGCACAGTGAAAACTGCTTCTTTATGGCCTCTCAACTCCATTTTGTTAGGATTTTGACATAAATGGCTCCATTTTGATACTGGCAACTTTCACATGCCTTAGCCACCTTAGTTTTGTGGTTGGTTTGGGAAAGTATTGGCTTCCACTACCATAGGGGTCAGACCCAGAGCTTCTGCCTCCAAAGTTTCTTCCCTTCATGGGTCCAAAATATGAAGACTATTTTAATTGCCAAAACCATTGTAGCTTCCACCACCTCCAAAATTACTTCATTACCTTCCTCACTGACACCATATCTTGCCACAACAGCTGCCACCAAACCACCATGACCACTGAAGTTTCTTCCATGACCAAAGCTGTCATTTCCACCAAAACTACCTCCACAACCACCATCAAAGTTTCCAGAACCACTTCAACCTTTTTGGTTGGATGAAGCACTAGCCATCTTTGCTTCAACAGGGCTTTCTTTACTTCACAGTAGTGGCCATTCACTTTACAGTATTTCTGCATGACAGGCTTAACCATGGAGTCACGGTCGTCAAGCATTATGAAAGCAAAGCCTGTCTTGTCACTGCCTCAGTCAGTCATAACTTCAATCACTTCGATTTTCCCATACTGCTCAAAATAATTTCTTAGGAGATGTTCTTCAGCGTCTTCCATAATGCCACCCACAAATATCTTTTTCACAGTTAAGTGGGCACCTGATCTTTGAGAATCTTCTCTTGAGACAGCTTTCTCTGAGCCATCCGCCTCGTGTGGCCTTCCATTTACGGCTGTATCCAACTCCTCCACAGTGGCATAGGTGACAAATCCAAAGCCCCTGGAGCACTTGGTGTTTGGACCTCTCAGTACCCACAATCTGAGAGTGTTCTCAATTGCTCAAAATGGCTCCTCAGACTCTCATTGGTTGTTTCAGAGCTCAACCCTCTGATGAAGAACTTCTGCAGCTATTTGGGCTCTTGAAGAGTCTCTGACTTACACATGATGGCAGTGGGAAGAGACTTTAATGATGCTTCCTTGGCAGTGTCCATGGGCAGAAAGGAGTAAGCTAACTGAATGTATCTCTGAAATAAAGTATTTTTAATTGTGCTTTTACAAATGATCTGGAAACATTCTACATTTCATGCTCATACCAACTTTTTGACGGTGGGGGAGGGCGGTGCAGTGCAGCTGGCTAGTATGGGGATCCGAACCCTTGACCTTGGTGTTGTAACATCATGCTCTAACCAATTGAGGTAACCAGCCAGCCCCCATACTAACTCTTGATAAAAGACAGTATACCAAGTACAAGGCTTTTCTTTAATGTGACTGGACGTGGGGGTAAAGCATAGAAAAAGTAGGTGAGCAAACTGTGGACTACCTGCATCAGAATCACCTAGAAGGGGAGGGAGTGCTTATTAAAATTCGATTTCTGGTCTTCAGAAATCCAGCCCTGCTAATAAATCAGATCTCTGCTCTTCACTAAAATTTGAAGAGAACCATTTAGGAAGAAATTGTTAGCATAACCACAATTAACATCCTAAATTTCTGTTTTCTCAATTAGGTTTTGGACAGTGCATCTCAGGGCTGCTTCTGGACAGGGCTGGGGAGCTGCAGGAGTGGGCAAGCTCTGTCAAAGACTTTCTGGCAACAGCAAGGATGGCAGACACCCGTAATCTGGGAAGTGGAACTCAGTAAGGGCCTCGATCCCAGAGATGCCCTCTTTGATTCAATTAAACTTCCTGCATAATTTTATAGGCCACTCTCATCTCCAATCCCTCACTTGAAGTTAACAATAGACAGGATCGTAATTCTACCTTGTATACTTAATAACTACCTTTTATTAAGTGATACCCTTCTGCTGAGCACTGTAACTGTCACTTTATACATGTTATTTTAAATCTTTAAAATACCTTGTGAAGAAGATATCATATTCCTCATTTTATTGCTAAGAAAACAGGCACTAGGGTTAAAAAAAAATGTGTCCAAAATCACCTGACTTTTAAGGGTCAAAGACAGGACATAAGTCTGGATGTGGTTGCCCTGGACACTATGCTGTGCCATTAGCAAATGCAACTAGAAAGCTGCCTTAGCTGAAGCCCAAACATATATACATAAAGATGCCTAAACCCAAGGGAATGCTCCCCTATAAATGCTAAGGATCTTCTTCTTGTCCTGCCCAGGAGCTTTCCCTGGAGCACGAGTCATGAAGTAAAGCCAACTTGTAGGAATTTCTCCCCTTTTCTGCAGAGTTTCTTAAACCTTATCTTGTTGACTTTATTTACTCCTTTTTAAAAAAAAAAATTCTCTAAAAAATAGTAGTTTGGTTCAAATATTTCACATGTTTTAAATTCATTTCAATAGCCTTACAACAATGCAAAGGTTAACAGAGTAGGTGAAATCACAAATGCCTTATGCTTCCACTCTGGAAAAAGCGATATCCTCATCAGACCTGATTCAAAAATCAACCAATGGAGCATCTCCTAGATTAGGGGGAAATACTACACATTGTGAAACCAATCCCAATGTTATTCATTTAACTACATACAGGTAGGCCAAAATTTAGCCCAGAGTCTGGTGGCTCTTTCTCACCTGTTTTCCTTTTGTCTTTTAATATCATCCAGCTGACCTTGAAGGAGCCAATTTTTCTCTCTTAACTGCTGAGATTCCAGGCATAGATTTTCCATTTCACACAACTGCTCCTAATAATATATCACATAATGTCTTTTCAGAAAACACATGATAGTAGGCATTATTTTGCTCCCCAATGCCAGGACTGAGATAGGTATTCCTTTTTTAAGCTCTTCCTATACACAAAACACCACAGTGGGTATCCCTGAATAAAAAGCAGACTGTGACAAGCTCTCAGAAGCCTAGAACTGTGACTCATGATCATATCCATGGTGTTTTGAACAGTTTCTTATCAATATCACATAATTTATTAAAATTCCTTTTTGAGGAAAGATGACAAAAAGTGTCTGATGAGAGTGTAGTTGGCACAACCTGTATGATATGATACCATTGTGTAAAACCCTAATGGGGCAGGGAGAGAATGCTTACAGACATGGTTATGTATTCACTGAAAAGCTCTAAAAAAAAAGAAGAAGAAGAAAAGAAAGAATAAAAAAAGAAAGAAAGAAACTGGCTACTTTGGGATCAGGAGTAAGAGGAAGACATTTCTCTGTCTATCCCTTAGTTCTGTACCTTTTGAGTTTTGTATCCTCAGTAACCATAAGGATATTACTTGTTTTAAAAAATTTAATTTATTGGAAAAAAATTACCCAGTTACCTTCATTCTGAGGATTTCAGCATTTTTGACTTCTCTGTCTTCATTTAGTTTTGTTACAAGGTGTTGCAAAGAAGTCTTAGAGGCTCTTCCATCTTCTATCTGTTGTTCTTGTGCTTCGGTGTTTTGCCAAATGTGTTTGAAAGTGAGGTGGTGTTTTAGGACTCAAATAAAATCGCATCTCATCCAAATACCCAATTAAGTGATATTATAAAGATTTTATTTTAAATATATATGTCAAGCACATTAAAAAAGACCAAACTATTTAGCTTATTATCCTAATTGTTGTACAAGTAAAAGAAACAAAAAACTGGTACCTTTATCAAGTAAAAAGCAGACAGAGGATGTTAGTGAAAATCTTTTTCTTAAAAAAGATAAAGCGATGGTCTTAGTAATTTCCTAATCTGTACAATTCACAAAACTGTTTATTTCTCCTGAAATGCACTGAAAAATACCTGAGGATATTCAGCAGCAGAATCCATCACATGTTCTAGTTGCCTCGTTTTGAAGTTATATTCATTCTTCTTCTTTTCTCCTTCCTCTTTCTTTTGGTTTAGCTGGGAAAATCGAACAGGTATAAAGTTACAAGTTAGAAAACAATATGGGGCACATGGTCCAATTAAGAAAAAAAGCTTCCCTATCACCAGTCATCAGGAAAATGCAAATTAAAACCACATTGATATCATCTCACACTTATTAGAATGGCTATCATCAAAACAATGAAAGGTACAAGTATTTGGGAGGATGTGGAGAAAAGAGAGTCCTTGTACACTGCTGGGAACTCAAATTAATATGGCCATTATGGAAAACAATATGGAAGTTCCTCAAAAAACTAAAAATAGGACTACCATATGATCCAGCAATCCCATCACTGGGTACATATCCAAAAGACTTGAAATCAGTATGTTGAAGAGATATCTGCACTCCTACGTTCACTGAAACATTATTCACAAAAGCCAAGAGATGGAAGGGCCGGCGCATGGCTCACTCGGGAGAGTGCGGCGCCAAGGCCACGGGTTCGGATTCTATACAGGGATGGCCGGTTGGCTCACTGGGTGAGCGTGGTGCCAAGCCAAGGGTAAGATCCCCTTACCGGTCATCTTTTAAAAAAAAAAAAAAAAAAAAAAAAAAATAACCCACTGAGCTAACTGGCCAGCTCTGATTCAGTATTTTTTTTTTCTTTTCCTTTTTTTTGTCTTTTTTACTGACCGGTAACGGGATCGCAACCCTCTGTGTGATATATACACAATGGAATACTATTCAGCCTTTAAAAGGAAGCAAATTCTGTCATTATGTTAAGTGAAATAAGCAGGCACAGAATGACAAATATTGTCTGATCTCACTTATATGTGGAATCGTTAAAAAGTTGAACTCATAGAAGTAGAGAGTAGGATGGTGTTTACCAGAGGCTGGCGGGGTGGGGGCAGGGGACACAAATGGGAGATGTTGCTCAAAGGGTACAAAGTTTCAGTTAGACAAGAGGAATAAGTTTTTGAGATGCACTGCATGGCATGGTGACTATAATTAATAATAACATAATGTATATTTCAAAATTGCTGAGAGTAGATTTTAAATGTTGATACCACAAAAAAAAATAATAAGTATGTGAGGTGATGGATATGTTAATTTGGCTTGATTTAATCATTCCACAATGTATACATATATCAAAAAAAAACCAGATTTTGGGCCGGCCCGGTGGCGCACTCAGTAGAGTGCGGCGCTTGGGAGCACGGTGGCGCTCCCGCCGAGGGTTCGGATCCCATATAGAGACTGGCCCGCTCACTGGTTGAGCGCCGTGCGGGCGCGACACTGAGGGTTGTGATCCCGTTGCTGGTCGTGGTATGGGCGCAACACCGAGGGTTGCGATCCCGTTACCGGTCACGAAAAAAGACAAAAAGGAAAAAAAAAAACCCCACATTTTATCCCATAAATATATACAATTATTTGTCAATTAAAAAAAAAAGATGTTTTGGGGCCGGCCTGGTGGCGCACTGGATAGTGCGCCGCTTGGGAAGCGCGGCGGCGCTCCCGCCCGAGGGTTCGGATCCCACATACAGACCGGTTCCCGCTCACTGGCTGAGCGAGGCGCGGGAGCAACACCGAGGGTTGCGATCCCGTTGCCGGTCTCGGTCCAGTACGGGGGCGACACTGAGGGTTGCGATCCGATGCCGGACACGAAAAAAGACAAAAAAAAAAAAAAAAAAAAAAAAGATGTTTCATAGAATGCTACTTATATTTAAAACAGAAAAGACAAGCTTCCCAGGTACGCAGAAATATGCTTTTTACATTCTTTTTTAGGACTTGATTAATAATTTGAAAAGCAATAAAATATTAAAACAAAACCTCAGGGGCCGGCCCGGTGGTGCACTCAATAGAGTGTGGTGCTTGGGAGTGCGGCGGTGCTCCCACCGAGGGTTCGGATCCCATATACAGACCGGTCTGCTCACTGGTTGAGCGCGGTGCAGGTGCAACACTGAGGGTTGCGATCCCATTGCCGGTCGCGGTACCGGCGGGACACGGAGGGTTGTGATCCCGTTACCGGTCACGAAAAAAGACAAAAAGGGAGAAAAAAAAAAAACCCTCAGCATTTTTTAAAAGTAATAAATATGAAATCTGGGGTTACTTTTTGTGTCTGTCTAACTTGATTGCTACTATAACCCAATCATCTTTTCTCTCACAAATTTATACTTTTTCAAAATTTTCTTTTTAAGTTTCATAAGTAATAAAAGGATCATCTGAGAAAAATACAAAATATAGAACAACAGCCAAAAAGACGACAAAAGTCAGCTATAACCTCACTATAATGGCTAGACCTTGCTGCCATGTGTCAAGGACCCAGCGGGAGGGGAGGCAGCCAAGCAAGTCTCAGTTCATGTGAGCAAACCCAAGTCATTAAGATTCCAAGTTTACAATCCACAGCGTAACTACCAGATTACCTAAACACTCCATTAGCCTACCGTGTGTACATAGAGAAATTAGCCAAGACAGGAACATCTCAAAAATTTCAGCTGTGGATTCCTCCTGTTCCCCATCTTGAGTGACACCTCTGTGCATCTCACCTTATGCTGAAGTTCTTGGATCAAGGCCTCCTTCCTGGTCAGTTCTTCCTGGGCAGACTGCAGCAGCCCCGAGTGTTTTTTCGAAGCCTCTGTGAGCATGTTTAGCTGCTCAGTGGCATGTGCCAGGTCCTCACAAAGCATATCCCTCTGTTATGGGACAATACCCACAAAGGAAGAATTTCTTAATTGTGGTACTCCGATAAGGATTCGTAAATCATTACTACGAACAATTTTTAAAATGTTAAGAAAGTTTTATGTAAAAACGTTTTTTTGCTTGTGTGCTAATCCATTTCAAGACAAATCAATCAGTTAATGTTTAGCTGAACAGGTCTAGATATAAATATTATTACAATAAACTCATATAGATATCCCAATTGAGGTATAATTATACTCTCCCCTCACTCCCAGGATCTCAAAGCTGATTTCTCTTTCCTGGGGAGGACTCCAGGCATAGGTTTCTAGCTTACCTGTTGTCTCACCAATTGACTCTAGTCCTTTCTACAATGGAAACTAAATAGCTGTAGAGATGCCCCCACCACCAGTTGGGGAGGGACAGTTCACCAGACCATAATACATTGTCACGGACCACCAAAGTTTCAGGAAGTAGCTTGATGAAAAATGGCACAGAAAAATAGAAGTCCTATAAGTTTGCAGACATAATTTCTATGCATGTAGTGTATGTAATCCCTACCAAATTAGAGAAGAATCTGCTTATCCGATCCTTTCCTTTCCAACTGTACACGTACGTATGTGTGTATATATGTATGTATATGTATACACACATTTTTCCATGTACTCACTCTTTCATTGTATCATCTTCATTGGGTAGGCTTATTTCACCTTATGGATGCACCATAATTTAACCCATCACTAAAAATTTTGGTTGCTTTGAATTTTTCACTATTATATGCTTGAGTGTTTTACTCTCATATCTAGACTATTTCTTTGGGCTAAATTCCTAAAAGTACAAACTCAAAGCATGTGCAAAAAATTTAAGGCTAGCTTTTACCACACCACTTCCCAAAAGATTGAACCTACTCCTCCAGAAGTTTCAGTTACTACCCTTCTCTGCACATCTTCAAGTCTTAAATTTTACCAGTTATAAGTTCAAAAAATAGCACATATTTAATTTGCACTTCTTTTATTCCAAAGAGGTTTATGTGCCACTAAAATATCAGGATTTGCCTAAAATATCTCTAGAAGGATAAACAAGAAACTGTTAACATTGAGTGGCTGAGGGACAGGGAGGAGGGATAGGAAGGAATGTATAATACTTCTGAACCATGTGAGAGTACTGCTTAATTTTTAAAAAGATAAATTTACAACAACAACAAAACTAAAAACCTACTTTAGGTAAAACACGAGACAACCCTGAAATTAATCTGTTAACCAGCCCTTTCTCTGCTCCCTGCTGCTACCACTGCATCTAAGTAAATAGTTTCCACGTTGTTCACCCCACCATGGTGTCAGCACAAATGAACAAAAATAGGTCAACTAGATAAAATAAAACAATTTTTTGTGTGTGTGTGTCTTTTGTCTTTTTCCGTGTCCGGCAACGGATCGCAACCCTCAGTGTTGCCCCTGTACCGGACCGGAGACCGGCAACGGGATCGCAACCCTCGGTGTTGCTCCCGCGCCTCGCTCAGCCAGTGAGCGGGAACCGGTCTGCATGTGGGATCCGAACCCTCGGGCGGGAGCGCCGCCGCGCTTCCCAAGCGGCGCACCTATCCAGTGCACCACCGGGCCGGCCCAAAATAAAACAATTTTAATGGTATCTCTTAATTGCCTGATTACCTACTCTAAGGAAAAGTGGCTCTAATTATTAATTATTCCTTTTAAAATACTCTATTTATTAATTAATAATTTCAACACAAAAATATACATATTGGCAATATGGCAAAAACAAAAAAGTCATGACATGTTAGTATCTACCTCTATGTCCTCAGAGAGTATTCTCAGTCTAAGGGTTTCTTTCAGATCCAGAATATCCTCTTCCTGTCTCTTAATCAACACTCTTGTGCTCTCTTCTTTGTCAACCAAAGCAGAGTTGTATTTGCACTGCAACGAAAGTCATAATACAAGAGCTATCTATTTTCTTATCTTTTTGTTGATTAAAATAACAATGAGTCTGAGTTCCAAGGTGATAACCAGATTAACACAAGTTAATTGAATATTTATTCAATATTACTTGTTAAATGAAGGAATGGAAGAATAAAATGCATGAACAGTAAAGAGAAATGGAAAAGTCCCATAAATATCAGTAAAATAAAAGCATCTAGTTTTGTCATCTTTGTCAGGAGACTGCCTTTGGAAATAAACAGAGTGCTGCAAGCTCCCTTTACAGCAGAGGAATGAGGAACATTAACACAAACCTTTGCCTTGACACAAGCACAAGAGGAAGCATCAACATCCAACTTAGATATATGCTGGAGGAATAAGTGGTTACTTTATATAGGAACTCACTCACTTTCTACATAATTAATGTCTCTGAACTTAGGTAAAATGTGTTATTTTTTCTTGAAGCAACTAAGGAACACCATATTAGCCTTAACTGTCACAGGCATTTGTTAACCTCTTGAGGAGTCTGTGAAATGTGTCTCATGTTTAAATTGAACATTTTGTTGGTGACCAAACTTACATTTATGTCCTTCCGTTCTTGTTTCAGGGTTTCTATGGTTTCTGTTTTCTCACAGGTAGATGTTCTTAGCTCCTGGATCTGGTTCATGAGGTCAGCTATAACTTCCTGATGAGGACAGAAACAATATCTTCATACCCAATGACATTAAGGAGGAGATAATTTTTAAATGATAAATCATTTATCTTTCCTAATAACAGCATAAGAAGTCAATTTTATTTTAGCAAAACATCATAGGTCACATTACATTATTATCAATTTATATTTTAATGGCCTTATACTATCTATTTAATCGCTTGCTCTGGTTTTATGAATGAATAGGAGCTGGACATAAAGATTTTATACCCAATTTTATACTTGGACACACATATTATATTTATTATTCTAGTTAAAGTCAACACCAGGGATTTAAGAATTTGTGCCATGGGACTTAGAGTCAAAAATGAAGGGTGAAACTAATATCAGCATCCTAGCTAAAAGGGCAGGATGTTTTTTAGAAACACTGCCATCCAGGGCCGGCCCGGTGGCGCACTCAGTAGAGTGAGGCGCTTGGGAATGCGGTGGCGCTCCCGCTGAGGGTTCGGATCCCATATAGAGACCGGTCCGCTCACTGGGTTGAGCGTGGTGCGGGCGCGACACCGAGGGTTGCAATCCCGTTACCGGTCACGAAAAAAGACAAAGAGGAAAAAAAAAAAGAAACACTGCCATCCAAAGTAGTAAGAGTAGTTTGCACTTGAAGTTATGTGGAAAACTAACTTAAGTGGAAGACCTCTTTCTCTAGAAACCTTGTAGATGAACAAGACCAAACTGCATACAGAAATGCTAGCTATCAGTCACCCTGGAGATGCAAGATGTGGCAGAAGAATTGGATTGGAATATTAAACCAGCATTTAAAAAGAAAATGCACAGAGGGATGTAGCTTCAAACTCCATCTACCTTGTCAGCATCCCTAGTCTTTTCCAGAGAACTGATCACTTTTTCAGTAGCAAGCAAGCTCTCTTCTAGTTTCTGTATTTTTGCCATCTATGGGGAAAAATTAACATTTTTAGAAAAAGAATTAAATCACAAAGTTAATCACAAGGACATAAAAAAACCTAGTTGAAATCTGCTTTTCATAATACAGAGTCTACACTAGGAGTAATACTTGAAATGATAAATTAGGTTGAAAGACAATGATTTTGTCTTTTTTTTTTTAAAGATGACCAGTAAGGGGATCTCAACCCTTGACTTGGTGTTGTCAGCACCACGCTCTCCCACTGAGCAAACCGGTCATCCCTATATGGGATCCGAACCCGTGGCCTTGGTGTCATCATCACCGCACTCTCCCAAGTGAGCCACGGGCCGGCCCAAAAGACAATGATTTTGTGGTCTCTTACAAGACACCATCAACCAGTTATGATTATACCACCTAGGAGTTAGAGAAACAAGAGCTGAAAAATAATACAACCAGCCAAGGGCCAGCCCGTGGCTTACTTGGGAGAGTGTGGTGCTGATAACACCAAGGCCATGGGCTCGGATCCCTAGATAGGGATGGCCGGTTAGCTCACTTGGGAGAGCGTGGTGCTGACACCACCAAGTCAAGGGTTAAGATCCTCTTACAGTCATCTTAAAAAAGAAAGAAAAAAAAAGAACCAGCCAAAAATTCCATCTTTTTATTACTAATTCCCAACAACTGAAAGGTGAAACAGTTTTAATAATAAACCTCTTAGAGATTAGGCATAAAAGTTATAAACTTCAAATTCTACAGTTAAAGTAACAGGAAATTTACCTGCTGCTCACACTTAGCCATCTCTTTCTGTTTCTCTTGACATACAGTCTCAAGAACTTTTAAGATTTCTCTGGAAGAGAAGAATGATCTTTTACTCCTGACTTCAACCAATGGAAACAGGAACTGAGTATGTTAGCACAGAAGAGATTAAAGACAATGCAAATAAACTTTATTAGGCACATACTTGGTATTAGGCATTATATTCCAATGGGCATCAGAACTTTGAACCATTTCTTCAACAGCTAATGAGAATTTTTGTGCCATGACTGTTTTTCTTGAGAGTGTTTACTACTCTCTAATATAGCATACAACATATAGTATTTGTTATTACTTGTCTCCCTGTGCTAGAAGATAAAATCCACAGGGACAGGGATGTTTGTTCACTGTTTTACCTCTATATGTTCTGGCATTCACCAGATCACTTCCTGGCTACTCGGATATCACTAAATATTTGAATGAATGAGTAAATATTAATTGTCTGTAGGCAACTGGATGCATGCGCCACGTTCACCACTGCATACCAGGGCCTAGAAAAGAATCGATCTCATAGTAAGAACTCTTTAAGGATCTACTGAATAAACTAATTGTTCTCATTAGAGTAATAATCAGTCTATTGGCTGAAGCCAAGAGACTCTTTGAGATTACCAAGGAAAAGAACTTGGAGATGCAAGAAAATGGCCTTCCTGCTAAGGTACCAGGAAGAAAAAAGAGCAGCTAGAAAAAGAATAGTAGAGACAGAAATAAAAAGCAGTCTCTACTTTCCAATAATAAAAGAAACAGAAGTCATCTTATTATATATACTGTGACTTATTTACAGAAGGCTCTGAGTTCTGATCACTACTAATTGCTGTTCATTTAAAAGTACCATAGCTAGTTATTAAATGCTTTAAAGGATAAAGTTTCTCTACATAGCCATTTATACAAAAGAACCTGATGTTCATTTTGAAATGCTTAAAAGAAAAATAACTCTTTACACGGTACTAGAAATAAAAAAAGAAATATAAGATAAAGAATGTGGTAGTAAACAATATTCTAGTCAATTAAGTAAAAAAATAAATGGCACTCACTTAGAATTGCTTTCTTTATCTTCTTCAAACTGTAATGACAATTTGTTACTGCGTTCTTTTTCTGCCTCGAAAAGCTCCATCAAATTCTAAAAGATACCGTTACGTTACATTTTAAGTAACTGTTACCAGCAATGTGTGGTCAAAAAAATATATCAAGTACCTTGTATGTGACAGGCACTGTGGGCAAGTATAGGAAGTTAGGGAGAGTTCAGAACAGTCCTTGTCCTACATTCAAGAGAACAGCCACAGATCCAGGCCAAATTCACCAATTACTAATACCCTTCTTAACTTACATTCATATCAGATTTCAGAGTTTCATTTTCTTTTTTGCAGTTTTGGAGTTTTTTTGAAAGTTGGTCAATTTCAAACTTCATTACTTCTTGTAAGTTGTCATAGGAATCCTGTAGGCAGGCTTTGCTCTCAAGCAGCTTTTCATTTTCTAATCTTTATCAGAAAAATATTTTTACAATGGTAAGTATAAACATTTAATGTATTTCTGCTAGTCAATTTATCTGCAGTTCAATTTACCCTACCTACAGACCATTCCCAACTTACATAAGCCTGGACTGATGTAAAGCTCCTCATGGACTTGTGTGAAATGTCCATGATGCATAAACATGTAAGCCACACTGGAACACAGGGTAGTTTGATGGGGATAGAAAAGATAGGGGGGAGTGTAAGCCCACAGCCATCACTTTCTCATTCTCTCTCCTGTGGTTTCAACCGTACATATTTAACTGATTCACAATTTATAGACCCATTTAAAGGTTTCCAGACCTAATCCTCATGTCAGCTAGGCACTGGCTGTTATTTTCCAAGTTTTGTTGATAGCTCAACTCCAACTATTCATCACATATTCTCTCAGCTCCAGGAAGGATTTTTTAAGAAGGCAAATGTGGCTTCAATCTGAGCAAGAGAGAAAATTCCCTCAGCAAGAACTATCTGCTACTTTCCTGGTTTTCGTCCTCTGTTTCCTTCCCCAATATACTGTGGGCATACCCAAGTATATCAGGGCGCAGTGAAGAACTAGCAATCAATCTAAACTGTGGACCATCCAAAAGAGATGTCCTAGCTTATCTACAGAAGGTTATTAGGCATGGAACATCTGTTGTACTAACTCAAAGCAAAGCAGAAGCAGCAAATTACAAAGTGGTATACATCAATTGCTAAAGACAGATGTACAGGCAATAGATGGTAGGGGAGGGGAGCAAATCTATAAATTTATGGTATAAACTCTGTATATGAAGTAGGCAAAATAATCCGAGAAACACATAACAGTGCTGTGCTGTTTAATTCAGAAGACTTAACAAACTTTGAGTGTCACGATAGAGTATAAGCAGTTCAATAAATGATGTACTCAATGTTAATGGGGAGACACTGAGAAAAATTAAATTGTGTCCAACATATTTAAAAAGCTAGGAAGAGCTCAATACTTTTAAGATAGAATTTAAGTACATGAATAACATCGTAGATTCTTAATATTTTTGATCTAATTCATCTCTGACAGGTAAACGCAAGGAAATTAAGATCCAATGAAATTAGTGGAGTGACTTAAAAAAAAAAAAAACTGCATAAAATTAGTTGTGGTAGAGGCAAGATTAGATCAGTAATTCAGAAGTTAAAACAAGTCCCAGGTGTAAGAAGAGACAACAGTGCATCTGTGATAAATTATCAATAAATTACCTATTTTTTTTAACTAGTTGAGTTGGGTTTGTAACACTTGCACTTCAAGTAGTCCTGGGTTTCAGGCCAATCAGGCAACCTGATAAGTGGCCTTGATGTTGGAAAAATGGCCCAGGGTGGTAGAGGCCATGATGACCCAGACTGCACATCCTTCTCTAAAGAGAAAGAAGTGAGTCACACAGTGGCTGATGGTGGCCATGAAGGAATGTGGGCCTAGAGCCACCAAACTGATTTTTCAAAAGGATGCTGAAATACAGACTTTTATAGGAAAATACTCAATTTTTAAAATGATATGTTTTTTTTAAAACCATGCTGAGCAGGCCCAATAAAAACATGTGTATGGGCAGATTTTGGTCCACAGATCTCAAGTTTTCTTCCTTTATTTCAATTCCTTGTGTATCCAGAAAACATTCAACAGCTACAGTTTAATCTTTGCAACTTCTATAAAAATTAAATTCAAGGTTGCCTATCAGCAGCTTTTTTAGAGGGAGCTTATATTCATGATATCACATTCAAAAGATCCATTATTAAATTATGGCCATAGACACAGGAGATATTATCAAAAACACAAAATGGTTTTCAATTATGTTATACAAAAGGTTGAAATTAGCAAGAAGAAAAAAGAAAACAAACAATTTACATCTTAGATTATTTTTGTTTCAAGATTACCAGCACCTGACCAACCAACCAGCCAGCCTCTGGAGTTACTGTGGACAATGGTGACAGCTATTGTTTTGGTATACCTCATACTGTCCCTTCTTCTAGTAAGAGCACACTATTCCCTCCAGAGCAGGCAAATCACCTATGTTGGGCCAATGCCACCTCAAACCCCTGGTAGGTGACTGGTCCAAAAGTGAGATGACTCAAGCAAAACCAATTTAAATTTTCTCTGGGACTAATACTTGGCTGTTAGGAGAGAGACTTTCTATGCAGGGGTTGTTAGGCTGGGAGCCAGAATAGCTGTCTGAGGCAATCTCTTCCCTGTCACGTAGAGGAAAGTCCTCAATATTAGGAGAGAATAAGAGCAACACAGAGATGAATAGAGCTGAGAGAGAGAACCCTGAAAATATTGCTTGTCCCTGAAACCAAAATCACCTCTGGGGCTTTCCAATATCGTGAGCCAATAAATTACCTTTTTTGTTTGTTTAACTAGTTTGAGTTGGGTTTATAACACTTGCACTTCAAGTAGTCCCAGGTTACAGCTAATCAGGCAGCTTGAAACCACAACAGAACTCTACCTGACGTTATCTAGTTGAAGCTGTATATGCATGTGTTTTTCGGAAAGTTTGTTGAGTTCTTTCTCTTGACTCTCTTTGAATGAACTATATTCCAATTTCAACAAAGAAAGCTCCTTGTCAGCAGAATGAAGAACTGCTCGCAGGTCATGCACCTCACTTTTCAAAACTAAAAAACAAACAAAACAAATCCTCAACAGGTTTCTTTACAAGTATTTTTGTAAAGTAGGCAAATAAATTTGATGGGTACTCTTCTCATAATCAGCAAAAACAAGTTTAAGAGACCATTTTAAGGAAAGATGTTGATCAAGTAAGTGGTACCTAGGAGCACTGAGATTTCTGTTTTCTTCCTCTCCCTTACTTATGATTTTTGGTATATTTCTACTAAAAAAGGAAGAGTTAAGATCTGTCCCTGACTTGCAGGTCACTTGACTCTTCTAAAATTCTCCTGTTGAATGTGCATCAAAATTCTTAATATAAAAAAAAGTAAAATAAAATAAGAGACTTAACATATTGTAAGTGACCTATCTTAGTTGGGCCGGCCCAGTGGCACACTGGATAGTGCGCCGCTTGGGAAGTGCGGTGGCGCTCCCGTCCGAGGGTTCGGATCCCACTCCCTTACTTATGATTTTTGGTATATTTCTACTAAAAAAGGAAGAGTTAAGATCTGTCCCTGACTTGCAGGTCACTTGACTCTTCTAAAATTCTCCTGTTGAATGTGCATCAAAATTCTTAATATAAAAAAAAGTAAAATAAAATAAGAGACTTAACATATTGTAAGTGACCTATCTTAGTTATTAAAAATCCCTTGCAAATGTACCAGAACTTTCCAACATGGGTTAAACACTTCTCGTCTTCAAAGAAACTCCATTGGAAATCAAATTAGATAACTTTTTAGATCAAAGAAAATAGAATGGCCGTCTTTTTTTGTTTTAGCTTTATTATAAACTACTGCAAATACTTTGATGAAGGGAGAAATAAACTGAAAAAACAGAATTAAATGATACTACCACATGTACAAATATGAGCAAGTATATAATTTATACTTTATTTCTCAATATTAAAACATTCACCTTATGAATTCAAGTATCATTTGTGGACAATCCTGGAGAAAATTACCTTTTATGATCCATTACTGTTACTTACTACTGCCATGCAATCTTGAGTCTGGCTGTTTAACAACAAACAAAACAACCACCCGAAAATGATGAGAGAATTCAAAAATTAAAATTTTGACTAACTTGTAAAATGCCTCTGTAACTAAATGTGCTTATCTCCCAGGGCCCCCAGAACTCTGCCTAGTTAATAATCAACTGCCTGTAGGCATTTCTGCTTTTGTAATCTCGCAAGCCTGCCCTGCTTGTATTTCTAATTTTGCCTGTTCACCTAAGTCACATGGCTGAAAAGAAATTAAAACCAACAGCTGTTTGTCTAAGATCTAAGTTAAACTTAAGTTTATGGCCTATAAAAACCCTGTCAAACTCATGTTCATGGTCCCAAGATTTCAGAACAAGAGTTCACCTGGGTCCCGTGCATAATAACCCTTCTGACTCTCCTACCTTCTGAGCGTCTGGAGTCTTTCCTGCCAAGTTTGTTCCACAATATTTCTGGTGCATTGGCCAGGAAGTGAATTGGACAAGAAACGAACAGACCGGCCCCTTGAGCTGCCAGCCTGTGCAGGGCTGCCTGGAGGATCGGCGGGACCCTGGGAACTAAGGAGGCATCGCCTGGCCAGCTTGCTGGGACTATGGAAAGTAGGACCTTGCTGATCCAGAAGGCTGCCTGTCCAGCCAGGCTCCATGGAGGGAAGGACCAATCAGACCTGTACAGCCTCCAGAACAGGCAGGTCCCCCCAATCCTTTAGTGCAGTTCAGGCCTGCCTCTGGGTGGAAGGGGAGCTTGATCACCTCCCAAAAGGGTCCCTTCAAGGGCCCGGCTGGGGACGTCCATCTGGGTAAAAGACTTCAGGCTGAAGTTCTGTGTGGGACCTTGTTAAGGTCCATGTGGTTCAGGGTCTTGTCATGAGACTCCTCTCTGTTCTGGATGTCCATCTGGGTAAACTAAGTCAGGATTGGGGAAGGGAAAGGTACCTTAATTTCTGTGTGAGTGTGTGAGTGAATGTGAAATATCTATGGCACCAAGTGATAAATGCGGTGTCTGAGTGGGCCCAATGGCCTCTGCAAGGAGCACAGCCAGGTGGACACCTGTGTGGTCTTCCTTCTCCTTTGGGAGAAGGGGACACCCCTCCCTTGTTCGCCTCACACCACCAACACAGGGTGGGATTGGGTGGATGGTACATGTGACTAGAGACCTGATAGTTAACGTCTAAAAGGGAGTTCTGTCTCTGAGCCTTGGGCCGTAAATCTTTTGAAGTGATCAGCGTGGCCCTCCTGCCCACCAACACTAAGTCCCTCTTTTCAGTCCTTTGTTGCCAACTGAGGGACTACCCTGTACGCCAAGACTTAACAGAAGCCGCAGAGGACTTAAGCCAAGGGGGAATCTCTAGAAAATGGTTTAAAGGGTACCTCACAGACCTTTTCTGGGTATACCTGCTCTGTCACGAGCCCGCCATTCCCCATTCTTATTATATTAGCAGTGGCTACAAGGAGGACTGGGCAAAGGGGGCAGTGAGACTCGGTGCTGCCCTAGAACACCTAAACCAAACACAGGGGCCCCCTGCTTTGCAAGACCTTGCAGTCCGGGCCCTCCTGGAAGGTCCCAAATCCCACATTAAGTGGGAGTTACACTGCTTCCACGAGTGGAGGCATCATCAGTATTTGGGTTATAAGAAAGGGAAGAAATCTAAAAACAATGGGAGCAAGTCAGTCAAAGCCTACCATCCTTGAATGTATGCTGAGAAACTTTCTGAAGGGGTATTTCGGACCTATGAAGTTAAAATGACCCCTGGAAAGCTCCGGACCCTGTGTGAGGTAGAATGGCCTGGTTTTGGTGTAGGATGGCCCTCAGAAGGGACACTGAGTCTCCAGAAGGTCTGTACGGTTTATGAGATTATTACTGGAGAACCAGGGCACCCAGACCAGTTTCCATACATAGATTCCTGGCTGACTGTACCTATGACTCTACCACCTTGCACCCAATTCTGACTTCATAAGGGAAAAAGTAAGGTCCTCATTGTACAAGTGGCACAAAAGCCAGAATGAGAACAAGAAAAGCTAAAAAGTAAAAACCTATATATCAGGGGAGCCCAGAAGAACTCATGCCACCACCATATCCTGCTCCTTCAGGGGCACACGGCCCTAGGCATCCCTTGCCAGACAGCCCCCTGGTTTTGGTCCTGACAGCCCTACCAGCATTGCCACCAGAGAGTCCAGAAAGTCCAAAGAGTCTCGAACCAGTGCGGAGGTGACTCTGCTCAGCCCAACAGGTTTTGGTCCTCCAGATGCCCCTGCGGGAGACCCAAGGCCCACAACAAATCAATCCAGATGGTACTGTACAGCCAGGGTGCCCTCTCTTCTACTACCAACCTTTTACAACCACAAATCTTTTGAATTGGAAACATTATACTCCATCATATTCAGAAAAACCCCAGGCTCTGACCAGCCTTCTGGAGTTGATTTTCCTCACTCACCAGCCTACCTGGAAAGACTGCCGTCAGCTACTCCTAACTGTCCTCAGCATAGAAGAAAGATGACGCATCCTGATAGGAGCCAGGCAGTGGCTTGTTGTTGCAACAACAAGCACCCACAGCCGTGCTGGACCCCGAGGCCTGGGTCAGAGATGCTGCACCAGATGCGGCTCTGGATTGGGACTACAATGAAGAAGAGGGGAGAAACCAACTCCACTGATATATAGGTTTTATTTTTTAGCTTTTCCTTCTCTAAGGGCTGAGAGCTGGGGCCAGGAAACCCACCAACATGTCAAAAACAACCATTGTGACCCAGAAGATGGACGAATCGCCTACAGAGTTCTATGAGAAACTATGCAAGGCCTTCCGGATCTACACGCCATTTGATCCTGAAGCAGCCAAAAATCAGTGAACGATCAATGCAGGCTTTGTGGCCCAGTCTTGTGACGACATCCGCCACAAGCTTCAGAAGCTGGAAGGCTTTGCAGGGATGAATGCAACACAGCTCCTAAAAGTAACCAACAAAGTGTTTGTCAACCAAGACCAAGAGGCTCAGAAAGAGGCGGATACACGCCTGAGGCAAAAGGCGGATACACGCCTGAGGCAACAGGCGGGACTTCTGGCAGCAGCTCTCAACCTGGATCAAAGCTCTGCACTGGAGAAAAGGAAGAATTCCTGCTAGGGAGGGCGGATGCCCTTAAAACCCAATCAATGCACTTTTTGCAGGCAGCTGGGCCACTGGAAAAATGAAGGGGGGAAAAGTACCAATCAACAACCCAAAACAAAGCTCATGCTGAGAAAAAGAAATATGAGCCTGAACTGGCAAGCCAAGAACTCCAGGACCTCATTGGCCTGGCAGGGATAGTCTCAGATTAGGAAAGACTGGGTTCCTTGCCCCTAGGCAAACGATGGTAGGGGGCCAACCCATGACCTTCTTGGTGGACATGGGAGCAGAACATTCAGTATTCACAAGCCCAGTGGCCCCATTCTCAGGGTGAAAGACTACCATTGTTGGTGCTACAGGGACACAAGTAAATCGGTCATTCTGCAAAGCCCGAACCTGCCACCTCGGGGGTCACAAGGTGATTTGTGAGTTCCTTTATTTGCCTGACTGCCTGGTACCCCTGCTAGGAAGAGACTTACTGAGAAAACTAGGGGCACAAATAACTTTTACACCCAAAGAAGCAGCTCATTTAACCGAGTAATCAGGAAACTCTAATAATGGCTATAACAGTGTCTAGAGAGGAAGAATGGCACTTGTACACTGAAGCTAAAAAAGGCTCAAACACAAGACCATCGGAACTCTTATGAAACTATTTCTTTAAAGACTTTCCATCTGTTTGGGCCAAATTTGGACCCCCAGGTATGGCAAAAAAAAACATGCCCCAATAATAATAGAACTGAAACCAGGGGCCACAACAGTCAGAGTGAAGCAATACCCAGTCCCATGGGAAGCTCAGCTGTGAATTCAGGAGCACATCCACCAGTTGCTAAAAGCAGGCATCTTGGTGGAATGTCAGTCACCCTGGAACACACGCTTGTACCAGTCAAAAAGCCCAACGGAAGGGGGTACCGTCCAGTTC